TGTAGTTTTCAGTGTTGATGAATACTAATGAAGTTTCACTGATATTTCCCTGAGATACAGGGATTGAATCTGGAATAAAATGTTTCTTTCAGTGCTTGTATGAATGCAGCAACATGAACTGAATCTGCCCACCTTTAGCATCCTCAGCAGTCTTTCTGTGCGTCTGTGTGTCCAGACCTCCAGCTGAAGGCTGACGAGTTGAACCAGACTCTCTCGGGAGATGGAACTCCAGACAAAAGCCTGAAGGAGATGAAGGAGATCCAGGCTATGCTAGCCGAGATGAGAAAAGAAACGACAGCTGGGAGGGAAGAAAAGCATTGCTGAGGAGGAGATGGAGTATGGCCACACACACACACACACACCACACACAGTCATGTATCTTACTCCCACACACAAAAAAACACAGATTTTGAGAAAATGTAGCAAATAGACCAGTCACACCACACACATGATGAGCATGCACATACATGATGAGCAGAGCATAGGTGTAATTTTTTGATAAACGGAGTGTAAACATGCAAGAATAGTGTTGGAGACAGGAAGAAAGAAACATGTTTGCTGTTGAACTTTTTAGTTTTTTGTGTTTGTAGAGTTTTTGAATGTTTTTGTCTTAAGGGTTGTTTTTGTTTATCCCTTTTAAGTCTTGTTAGTTGATTTGACCAGAATCCCCATTCCCCTCATAGCTGTTTGCATGGAACCACACTTTTTTTCACTAACTTGTTTTGCTTTTTATATTTATTTCTGTGTTTTCACACATACCTGTATGCTAAAGCATTCACCTTGTGTGTCTTAGATTGCCTGCTGGGATTCAGTCCCACTTTTCCATGGTCTGGCTTGTTGTTCTGCAACACTAGAGTAGTCAGAAGTGGAATATGCATACAATTCACCTTAATAACTTTGTAAAAACACTTTTTGAAAACTCTTACATGCATACTATAGAAAATTGTAAACTCTATTATGAGTGCAACTTATTTACACTAGCAAAATTACAATTTCTTTCCTCCAGATCATGTTACTGTCATGTGTAAAAAAATTTCTCAGCATATTTCAATACATGTTACACGTTTTTAGATAATTTTAAGTATTTTTCCTAGTCTTTCATGCCACCGAAGGCTTCTGTTAGTTTTTTTTTAATGAAAATTAATCATTAGCGCCTGATACTTGAGTTGTGTAGTGCATTGATATAAACAACAGTCCGTGCAGAGTGAAGAATTGCTTAAAAAGTATGCACTGTGTTAGGTGTTACTCATACTGATTATGTAACTTTGACAAAAAAATGAATGCAGATTTGATGTTTACTAGAAGTCTTTAAGAGTCAATCAGAGTCTGATTGATTTTCATATCACACAGAAATGAATAGAGCTCAGTGGATGTCTGGAGTGTTAGAAAAAATATAACAACACAGGATTGTTTGCAAAATGGCTAGCAGTGATGTAGAGCATACATGATATGTAGTACAGTAAGGTTAAATAATGGAAACCCGCTGGTCCTTAAATTTCTTTCTTTGATTTATTGATTTCTTTCTTTGTTGAGTACATATCTTCAGTTGAGCAGACATCTGATCGCCACATATCCTAAAGCCATGAAGTTTTGCTGATGTTTTAACCAAGTGTTTCTCTCTCTCTCTCTCTCTCTCTCTCGCGCGCTCTCTCTCTCTCTCTCTCTCTCTCTCTCTCTCAAGGCATTTAATGGAATTAGTAATCTACTCTCTTCACTACCCCTCCCTGTCTGTCTCTTTCAGCAGTAAATGTTGACGAGGTCGATAAGTTAATTAAAAATACTGGATTGCCGAAGGGGTAGAAACAGAGAGAGCATACAAAGAATGTGAAGGAAAGTCGCAGTGGGAGAGGAGAACAACTGACAGATGGACAGAGAGTTGTAGTTGGAGAGAGTATGAGAAAAAGAGAGACAAAGAGAAATTGCTACTGCCACTGAATGACTTGTCTGTCAGTCTGTGGTTGATTATTTGACTAAAGCCTGAGGGGAGGTTTCAGCCAGAGCAGCAGAGAAAAACACAAGCATCAACAAATGTTAAAGAGATGCTTCAGCAAAATGAACAAAGCTGGCACCGTTATGAGTTTCATATTTTCCCATATTTATTTTCAGTATGTTGATGGTCTAAAAAGTTTGCGTACATGACTTTTCATTCATATACTGTATTTCATATATATATATATATATACTGTCTGTTAATAGGCAGTAGGGTAACACCCCTCCCATTTGTTTTTACTTAGTTATTTCTGTTTTCTTCATGCTAATCCCCACAGGGTTCATTAAAGTTTCATCAGACCCAATCATTACCTTGCATAGATCCCCAAAACTGTGTGAAATTGTCCTCTGAGTGATGTCAAGTGGAGGACACTAGATTCTTGTTGCCTTAATTAATGCTGAAGGTGAAAAATCAGAGTCATTAAGGGACGCTATGGTAAACATATGGTTATTAAACTGTTTTAAAATAGTTCCAAAGTGAGATTGCCTTCTAAAAAATGCCAAAGCAAAATGTAACGAGTAAATTTGGAATGAACTAAAGGCTGTATTGCAAACCTTGATGGTGGATCAAATAAAGCGAAGCATTCAAGATAGTTCAGCCAATCAACCTGAGTCAGGCACCACAACCACATGGCATGCTGTTTTCAGGGTAACATATATCTAGAGGACCATTTTCATAGTGGCAGTGTACCTAAAGGTTCAGTGTGTAATATGTAGGAGGTTCTATTGACAGAAATGCACTGTAACAGGTCCCCTTACATTGAAGTTGCCATGTTGCGCACCATGTTTCTACAGTAGCCCAAATGGACAAATAGCTCTACAAAGCCTGAATACACACAAGGTAGAAAAACAATAACAAGTAGTACAAATTTGGACAATATGAGGACCACACGTATGATTAAGGACAAGAGCCGACAGAGCGTGTTGGCCACTTTAGTTTCTCATTCTCACTTGGAAAGGGAGGGGGGAGCAGTGAGTGATGGTGTATTCATGTGGTGTCGGAATAATCAGAATCTTTTTTTCATCCTTAAATTTTAATTGCAAAACTGAAATAAAGTGTACATGGGACATAAAGAAGTGTACAGAACTTTGATTTTGATTATCACATATTGCGTATATACATATTTTGCCCACATGTAATCTGTAATATGGTTAGAATTGTTAGTTTGCTGTCCATGTAATAATTATAATACATTTTATTTCTATAGCGCTTTTCAGGGCACTCAGACACTTTACAGTAAAACCAGAAGTTATGTACATTTAAAACAGACTAAAAAACATAAATAGCAAAATATAAAATATATGAACAGTAGGTAAAAACATGTGGTGCGGAAATACATAAGAGCGAAAGGGCGACCATATCAATAAAAAACAGCAGCAGGTGCAATATAAAATTATTTGAGGTTAAAAGCTAATCTAAAAGGTGGGTCTTGATAAGTGATTTGAAAGAGTCCATGTCGCTGCTATCGGATGTGTATGGGTAAGGAGTTCCATAGGGAGGGGGCTGTGATGGTGAAAGCTCTGTTGCCCCAGGTACGGTGCTTGGTCCTTTTTTGTGGGGACAGGAGGTTAGTGTCAGAGGAGCGGAGGTTACGGGAGGGATTGTGGTGGTGGAGCAGGTCTGTGAGATTGGAAGGGGCCTTTTTATGGAGGGCTTTATGTGTGAGGAGGAGGATTTTGTATTGAATGCGTTGGGGAACGGGGAGCCTGTGAAGATTCTGGAGGACAAGGGTATTGTGGTCATGGGTGTGTGTGGGTGAGGAGGCGGGCAGCAGAGTTTTGGATATATTGAAGTTTATTTAGGGCTTTGGCAGGTGAACCATAAAGGATGCTATTGCAGCAGTCAATTCTGGATGGAATGAAGGCGTGGGTCAGGGTTTCGGCAGCAGAGAAGGTGTGGATGGGCGGAGACGGGCAATGTTTTTGAGGTGAAAGAAGGCAGTCCTGTTGACATGATGGATGCGGTGATCAAAAGTGAGGTTGTCAAAGATGACTCCAAGGTTGCGGATGTGTGGGGATCGATACAAGGTGGAGTTGTTGATGGAAAGGCTGAAGTTGTTGGTGTTTTTTGTGAGTGATTTGGGGCCGATGATGGTCATGTCAAATTTATTGTAATTGAGTTGTAAGAAGTTGGTTTGCATCCAGGTTTGTATGTTGGTGAGGTAGTTGGTCAGAGTTGCAGAGGTAACTGTGGTGATGGTTTGATGGAGATGTAGATCTGGATGTCATCGGCGTAGCAGTGGAAGTGGAGACCATATCTACGTATGATATTACCAAGTGGCAGGATGTAAATGATGAATAGGAGAGGACCAAGCATTGAACCTTGGGGGGGACACCTTCTGACAAAGGAGCAGTGGAGGTGCAGTTATTGATGTTGATTGACTGTTGTCTGTTGGTGAGGTAAGAGCGGAGTCAGGAGAGTGCGGTGCCAGTAATATTGTAGCGTGAACTAAATGTCTGCGTGTTGTTTATATGCTCTGATAATGCTAATCCAACAAACCTTTGTAGTAGCGTCCATGTTGATTCACATTCCGACTATAGAGCACATGAACACACACTGAAGTCGGAAGAAAGACATTCATAACTCGGGACCATCTGAGGAGCATGTGAATGCAACGTGAGCCACTGGTTGCAATTTGCAACTCTCACCACTAGATGCCACTAAAACGTACACACTGAACCTTTAAGGGGTGGGTTATGTTAGCAAAGAAGTAGTTTGTACAACATGTGGTCCGATCACATGGGAAGGCAGAAGTATTTATATGCTGTTGGACACACTCAATGGCGGCTTGAAAAGTCTGCCCTCATAGAAAGGTGCAAGTTGTTATGATCGTTGGAATGTAGGGGTAACAGCGCAGTGTTGCACTCAGATGTGCACAAAGTGGCAAAAATAGTGTGTAAAGAATAGAAAAAAGTTTACCAATTGCTGCATGAGATGGTTGTCAGTGTCAGAAAGTTACAGAAATTGTACGCAGCCTCTCCTATTCATATGTTGGAAATATGTGGGGGGGAGGGGCTGTTTGACCATGTAACACGCATTTCTGATGGCATATACTAGCCCCTTAAACCAGCAGAGCTCTGCTTATTCCTTTGCTGCATGCCTGCTGCCACACTACTTTCCCTTAGGTGGAAAATTATTATGCTCCTCACTCCTAGCTGTGCTTAGTCAGGTGTCTCCTTGTGGAAAGTGAGGGGGTCAGAGCCAAGATGCCAAATATGAACGCTGTTATATTCACATAACACATTCCATGTGAGTTGGCTGACTTGACTATAGTTAGGGTGATAACGGCAAAACAAAGCTGTGAATAATAGATGTAATGCCCCTTTAACAAAGCTTACCTCAGCTTTGGGTATTTGTTGCTTTAAACTGAATGCATACTGGATGTGATGAATAATGTATGCCTTTGAATATCTTCATCCGACACACTGATAAGGCCCATGTCTGCAGTGGTTAGGTTTTAGTTATCCTTTAGAGTCTCGCTCTCCACCAATTTTATCCGTTGCTGTTATTGATATAGCGTGCCATGCTACAGCATACATTAGCACATGTTGCTTCGCCCGCCCACCCAGTCACATGCAAACACACACACGTTAGTGAAATGATATTTGAAATGTTTTACACTGCCACTATTTAATCCAACTTAGCCTGAGGGGTCAATACAAGAAAATCGGAAATTTCATTCCAGCATTTCAATATTCAGTCATATGGAGTGATTATTGTCTTCGCACTTGCACGGGCTCTGTCATGCATCACAATAACTCTCCACTTCTCTCCTCTCCTCTGTGAATTGTCGCATTCACATATACTAACTTGTTCTATGGTTCCACTTTTGTAAGCCATGAATAACACTGTGTTAAATGACCAAAATTTAAATGTAAATATCCTAATGCATCCCTTCCTTCTTCCAGCCTAGCAGAGGAGTTGTTTCAGAAAGTGAAAAGGTTATTTGGCGACCCTCATCAGGCTACAGAAGACCTGAAAGCAGAGGTAATTCATTTCTAATCTTTACCCCTTTTGTCTTCAATGTCCCTAAAATAATGATTTTAACTTAATGTGCCCCCATCTGCTTCAATAGATAAAAGAGAAGCTCTCAGACCATGAGGAGAAGCTCCAGGAGGCCCAGGATCTACTCCAGGAGGCCCAGGAAAAGATGAGGCAGACTGGCTCACTGGCTGAACAAAACCAAGCTAACCTCACAGCCCTAGAGGTAGAGATACCACAAACTCTCCCATGCCTACGCAGACAAATAATTTTTATTCCCATGATTTGCTCAATCGTGTGTAGTGGACTTTTGTTAGACTTCTACTATGACAAAAAATTAATGGCAAATGAACACAATATTTCATTTATGGAAGTGAATATTTCAGTCTATTTAGACTTTCTTGTGCTAAAGAAAGACATGCAGCAAGTCCATGCCACCGAGGGTGAAGGGTTTTAAACAAATGCCACGTAGTAAGTAAAGTTATTGAGCATAGCCTGCTAGCTAATTCAAGCAGACAACTTAAGTCACGCTGCTACATTCACATGTGACATACTCGTACTCATACTTTTCTAACGCAACCTTTAGATTAGATTTTATTTGTCCTTTTCAGGAAATTTGTTTCCACCATCTATACCTACGTACATTACCTCACATATAAACAACATGAACATACTACATAACAACATACTGTACATTTTATACACAAATTGACACCCAAACCAGAAATACTTTTTACTTAGCAGAAAGAAGAATGTGTTGAGAGGATGACTAATGTTGTGTACTATTATGTGTGCTTTCCGTAAAATGGCTTTCTGTTGAGATCAGAGAGGTTGGGGGCATTATTTGTGATGCGTGTAAGTTTGTTCCTACAGGGAGCGTGTTGAAATAACAAATTGAACAGTAAAGAAGGATTTGCAGTAAATAGGTCTATCTTAGCTGACCCGGTCTATTTGTTCTACTCTTTCGGTCTGCTTAAACAGATGCTGCTACAATGCTTACATATATAGTCTTTCATCAGCCTTGCACATCAAACAAGCTGGTTGATTGATTCCTGCCAGGAAGCTCATTTGAAACTGACTGAACATGTAAAAGTTATACTTCCATAGGAGTATTAAAAAAAACAGTAAATGTGAACATCTCTGACAACTGCACGTCTGTTGACGTGCTGATGGACAAGCACGTTCCAAGTGTTTTCTTTGGGTGTGAAAAGGTAACACCAGACCTTAACTGTCTATACTCTTCTGTCTATATATGTTTTTATGTTAATATAATCCATGTGAGTAGGATGATTTATATGACATTAGTTTTGAAGTGAGTAACACCTGTTGAGTAATGGATTACTGTTTTGTAGGTATTGAGACTATAAAAAAGAGCATTTAAAATTTTGGGGTTGGTCTCCTGAAATGAAAAAGTCATAAAACTCCAAAAGAAAGGAAAGTCAGGAAGTTTATTATACGTGTCCTAGAGGAAGCATTCTGCTGTGATCACTCTATTTTTCTTTTTCTTTCTTTCTTTCTTTCTTTTTTTAATATCCATCTTTGTCACTCCCTGACCCTGCAGTCTTTCCCTCTATAAATAAAAACTTTATGCAGTGAAGGAAGTGGAATACGCACACAACACACTGGGGTTATACAGACGTTTTTAGAACTAGTCTGTACAGAAAATAATGATTTCCCTGAAAGATTGCTCTGTCATTATTATGGGAGACAAAGTTTCAATTTAGAATGGACTTCAGCGAACTGACCAAAACATCCACTTCTTTGCTACTGGTTTGCATCGGCATATCTATCCATTATGGATTAAAAACTTCACGAAATTATGTTTTGCAGTCATACTCATTTTGAGGCATTTTTTATACAAATAGAATGACAAAGACAGGCTTTGTCCATGAAATCCACCACATCATCACCAGGCGCTCATTGTGGTTGTATGTTCATTAAAACTGTAATGATTAATTAATTAGTTTGGAATCAGAAAACTGATCAGCAGCTATTTAGATTATTGATAAATCGTTTAATTTTTCATGAAAAAAGACCAAATCTTACCTAGTTTCTAGTTTCTTTAGTCTGAAGTGTTTTAATTTTCTGCTTTTCGTTGTCTTATGTAATATTGAATTGAAGATCTTTAGGTTTTGGATTGTTGGTCAGACAAAACAGGCAATTTGATGACATCATCTGGAGCACACTGTAGTGGAAAATATTGTATTATATTATTACTAATATGTGACATTTTATAGACCAAGTGATAAATCGAATTGTCGAGAGAACAATCATCATATTAATCTGTAATGAAAAGAATCATTAGTTCAACCCTCATGTTCATACTTTGGCGCATGAGAATGATGTTCAGCTATTTATCCTTGTTTGTTTTTTTCCAGAGGAAGCGCTCTGCAGTAAGCGGAGTGAAACAGGAAGCACAGGATGTCCTAGGCGAAGGAGAACATCTCCTGGATGAGGCAAACCAGCTATTTGTCAACATCAACAAGGAGATAGAGGTACTAAAGTCAACCTTCTGCCTGAGGTCAACTTTGTGTCTTTCAGTTACAGGAAAGAGGAGTCTGTAGGAGTAGAAGAATATCTCTCTGTGTTTTGACTTTGTCTCAAATAATTGTATTGGCATTTAATACATAAGTACTACCTGAAATAATTAGCAAGGATATTGCCATGGACATGTTAACATGGCAGCAGTAAATACTAACAATGCAATGTGAAAAGAGCTTCTGATTTCTGTCTGTAGGACTTGGAGGAGATGCAAAGAGATCTGGGCCCTCTTCATGACTCGCTGGATAATAAAGTCAGTCGCCTCACCGATGGTTTAAGTGATGGCCGTCTGGCTAATAAGGTGCACGATGCAGAGGAACACGCTAAGCAGTTGAATGAATCTGCTGCCATTTTGGATGGGTAAATATGAACACATTTGTACATGTTCACACCTAGGTAAAAACATGTAGGATCTAGATGGGGCTGAAACTAGCAGATGGATATGTTCTGATGACTGTTGGCTCTTGTAACTGTTTTTCTACTGCTATTTTTCTTATTGTCTAATTGACACAAAAATTACAACATGTATTTTTAACAAAATAACTGTTATAAGTTCCCTAGAAGCAACACTGCTTCACTCCGAAACATAGTGCATCAGGGAAGTACACTTACCTTCTCTTCGGACCATGACCAAACGACTCCCGTGAAACTGAAGCAAACAAATCCGCCCCTAGAGTGTAGTGCGTCTCCAAACGAACTAACCACACGCGCACCGGTGACTAATCATCTGGTCAACCACGTGCCAAACAAACTTTTCAATGAATTACTCAAACAAACTAAATAACCTACAACTTAACCCGATGGACGAGCCCCCATTTGTCATAATCTGGCTTTTGTACCGTGACAAATATGGGGACACACCATGTTGAAAGTATAACAAAATAATTTATTTTTACCAAATAATGAGCAATAAATCTAAATAGAACATAAAGTAAAGAATGTAGACCCTAATGTAACACCGGCTGCTCCACCAAATGACCCAGCAGACTAGCCCTGATTGACCCCAACTCTTAACAAACTTTATGAGGACAGAGTTAGTGCGCAGAGGTCCATTCAAACCAGCACTGGATTTTTGTAGAAGGCAGTTTGTTTACATGGCTTACGACTCAGGCAGGATGGCCACATAGCATAATTTTGCTATGTGGAGGTCAGGACTGGCTCTCTCAGGAGTGTTCTGCATATGGGTTTTCATTACTTAACAAAATGTGCATGTAACATATTAAAAGGGAAATAACATATTGACATCTGTTTCTCTCTTTTGTCCTTGCAGCATTTTGGCTGAAGCTAAAAATCTGTCCTTCAATGCAACAGCTGCCTTCAAGGCCTACAGCAATATTAAAACAAATGTCGATGCAGCGGAGAAAGAGGCAAAGGCAGCTAAACAGAGGGCAAGTGAGGCACTGGCTTTGGTAAATAGACACATATACCAATACACAGAAACACATATACACAACTATTGACTAAATTCAAATAGTAATTTCTTACCTCTGTTCAGAATAGCTGTTTCCTTCAGGGTTTAATGAAGACACATATTATGTGTAATTCACTATGAGAAAAACATCCTGTGCCCAATTAGTCTCCTTTTCCATGTTTTCCAGTAATTTCTCTAGTACAGAAGTGTCTAGAACAGCAAATATTCTCCACTGAACTATATTGTAGTTGTTGTTGTTGTTGTTGTTGTTGTTATTATTATTATTATTATGCTATATGTGATCAAGTACAAACAAGTACAAGCATTCTAGCTATTCAGATTATGAAAGTGTATTTTATGCACAAGAGGGGTGGGGGTGTGTGTGTGAGAGAGTGAGTGAGTGATCGGGCTTGTGTGTGTGTGTGTGTGTGTGTGTGTGTGAGATCGGGCTTGTGTGTGTGTGTGTGTGTGTGTGTGTGTATGTGTGAGATCGGGCTTGTGTGTGTGTGTGTGTGTGAGATCGGGCTTGTGTGTGTTTGTGTGTGTCTTGCATGCAGTAACACTAATGTAAGCTTGGGCTCCCCATTAGTCATGGCTGAGAGATCAAAGCACTTCTCTGTCCCTCTTCTTCCTTCTCTTTTCCCCTCTCCTCCTTTCATTATCATGACCACACACACCTGAAATCTCCTTTTTCCTTCCTCTTTCCTCCTTTTATTTCTTAATTTATTCATTTTTTTTCTTTTTCAACTCTTTTTTCCCTGTTCTTGTCCTTGTTTCACACTTTTTCACATTCCTTTTTAGTGCACTCTCCATTTTCACATTCCTTTTTAGTGCACTCTCCATTCGTTTACTTTTGTCTTGGATACATTACTCGTCTTTGATTTTCTTTTACGCTTTATTCCATCATAGTTTCTTTTCCTCTCTATTCTTTTTATTTTTTTGTCCTGTGTGCCAATTCATTTATTTGCAGTTTTATTCTTTCAACATTTTCTTTTCTACTCATCCCCCTTGTTTGTTTTTTCCACCTATGTGTCTTTTCTTTATTTATTTCTTTTTTTTCTTTTCCTTTGCCAAGAAATAGGTAAATGGCAGAAGAAGAAATGGTTAAAGAGATAGGGAAAAGAAGCAGAGAGGGGCTGAAGGTGGAGAATGAATATGAGGAGGTGTTAAGTCTGCTGAATACCTTTTTTTCAGAATATCATTTAGCAATGCAAAGTAGTGGCGCTTTGATCTTACAGAAGTTAGTATGCAGATTACTGCACCTTTTTATGTGTCACAAAACATATTTCATGTGTGGGATCTAAATTATTCTGGAAGCATTTTAGTGAAGGAATGCTAAGTCACAGCTTTTGCATTGTCGCTCTGTGTGTGTGTGTGTGTGTGTGTGTGTGTGTGTAGGCTTTAGGTCCTGAGTTCCCAGTAAAGGAAGCAGCTCAAGGTGCCCTTCAGAAGAGTCACAAACTGCTAAACCAAGCCAAACAACTTCAAAATGATGTGAAAGGTAACCATGAGTATGTGTGTGGATGTACAATATATTGCAAACAGAAAAACTATATATTGTATAAAATGAACAGTATAATGATATAGGTAGACTACTAATTGTTGTACAAGGAGCTGTGGTCTATAAATGGATTATAGTAATGATATAAATATGTATTACATACAAGTGTTGAGTTTTATTCATTTGAAATACTTTATCTGCTTTTAATGTCACTCTCTGTCTGCCTCTCTTTGACTTACTTTCGCTCACTCTTCCCCATTTGGGAGGTGAGGAAAGTATTTTTATTAGTAGGTAGCCTTGGCTTCAAATCAAACCGTCATCATCATCGTGTGTGTGTGTGTGTGTGTAATAGAGAATGCAGATAGTGTGGCCGGACTGAAGAGCAGAGTTAAAGCTGCCAGAGACAAAACCAAAGACCTGCTGAAAGCTGTCAACGGAACCATGGCAACGCTCAACGCTATCCCCAATGGTATGATTTCACAAATACACAGTCTAGGTGCATGTGCGTGGGAGAGAGATAAAGGGAGAGTGGATCAATATCATTGTGCTGATAGAGGTCAGTTGCTCTGGTAAACTCAACTTGACACATGTCAGTACTCCCAGAAACACACACAGCCCCATAGAAGTGCAATGCAGTGATAGCGAAGTTCTTGAACCACAGTGATACACACGGTTGAGTTTGGATCAACACACAGAAAACCGTTAAATTTAGCTACTGCAGATTAGAAATGGATAACCTACAGGCTTGACACAAAATGTTAAATTCAAATCTAAGTGAATAAGTTTAAAATAACACAGTAATGTTAACAGCAGTATTCAGATTACTGGAAAGATTAAATGATTGTTAATAGTGAAATAATTATGTAGCGCATACCTGTGTGATGCAATGTCAGATCTGAATGATTTAGAATTAAAGTCTGGCTATACTACTGTGTTTGTGCATTACTGATCAATTCCACCATAAATGTTTTTATAAAAATAAGTTTAATCATATCCATCATTTTGACTGGAAATATATATCATTAGCAGCACAATGCATTAAGAACGCACAAAAGCATCTATTGGTCTATGCTATGCTGCAGCTAACGGTGATTTTAGCTTCTACAGATTATTTCATAGATTCATTGAGGCAACGTTTAAGAAGTACTTCTGCTTGATGGCGGCGCTCCCCCTCAACCCAAACTCACGGCCCAACCAGGCGGAGAACAACAAACACAAGTGTATATATTTACAGCTGAGGACTGCGGCTTACTTTTGCTAGCCTTCAACTCATCAATCAATCATGCTTTCAATTAAATGCTAATGTTGCTGTTACTGTTACCTTGTCTGTGGTCCGCTCCGTGGACTTGATGATAGACCGGGTGGTTTCAGATCAGATGCCGTCGTGCTGTTGCTGTAACATTAGACAACATAAGTTTTGTTTTACGGTGGACAGACTGTAACATTATGCTGTTGTGCTGTTGCTGCAACATTAGACGACGTAATTTTCGTTTTACGTTGGACAGGCTGTAACATTATGCCGTTGTACTGTTGCTGCAACATTAGACGACGTAAGTTTCGTTTTACGGTGGACGGACTGTAACATTATTTGTTGTACTGTTGCTGTAACGTTAGGCGACGTAAGTTTTGTTTTACGTTGGACAGACTGTAACATTAGTTGTGCTGTTGCTGTAACGTTAGGCGACGTAAGTTTTGTTTTACGGTTGACAGACTGTAACATTAGTTGTGCTGTTGCTGTAACGTTAGGCGACGTAAGTTTTGTTTTACGGTTGACAGACTGTAACATTAGTTGTACTGTTGCTGTAACGTTAGGCGACGTAAGTTTTGTTTTACGGTTGACAGACTGTAACATTAGTTGTGCTGTTGCTGTAACGTTAGGCGACGTAAGTTTTGTTTTACGGTGGACAGACTGTAACATTAGTTGTGCTGTTGCTGTAACGTTAGGCGACGTAAGTTTCGTTTTACGGTGGACAGACTGTAACATTAGTTGTACTGTTGCTGTAACGTTAGGCAACGTAAGTTTTGTTTTACGGTGGACAGACTGTAACATTATGTTGTTGTGCTGTTGCTGTAACATTAGGCGACGTAAGTTTCGTTTTACGTTGGACGGACTGTAACATTATGTTGTTGTGCTGTTGCTATAACGTTAGACAACATACATTTCGTTTTACGGTGGACAGACTGTAACATTACACCGTTATGCTGTTGCTGTAACGTTCGGCAACATAAATTTCATTTTACGGTAGACGGACTGTAACATTACAGTCGTTGTTTTCATTTAGCTTGAAATAATCCCATGCTTTGGACACTTTATTCTTCGTACCTCGCTATTTTCTCTCTTTTCCTCCACTTTGCAAACAGCGCAATAATCACGTCGTGTTCACACAGCGTAAGCGCAATGTGCGACAGTAATAAATGTCCGTGCGAAACAGTGTGCTATATAGTTATATAGATTAAACAAAGCGTCAATGCAAAGAATTTGCGTCAAAGTTTTTTAGTAATCAAATTAATCGATGAATAATTTCAGCCCTAATGCTATGATTAACAAATGTAATTTGACTGATTAATGTATGGCTATGTAATATTTGTGTGTCTGTTTTTTAAATTCTTTGACAGACACAGCAGCCAAGCTAGCAGCCACAAAGGCTGTAGCATCAGATGCTAACGCCACAGCCATAGACGTCCTGGAGCGCCTCGGGGATTTGAACCTGCGACTCCATGGCCTACAGACAAACTACAGCGAACTGGAGGACACTGTCAGTGCAGCCAATCAGATGATCCAGGACCCAGAGAAAAACAGTAAAGTTTACTAGTGGCTAGTTAGATAGTTACATAGTCTAGTAACAGTAGTTATCTGTAAAAGCAGCAGGAAAATCTTTTATTTTGGATATTCTAGTTAAAACGTTTTTGGCTCTTATAGCATTGGATAATTAAACTGAAGTCACTGAGAACTGTTACTGCAGAATGGTTGACTATTGAACTGCTTCTGACGCAATAGGTTTGTTTATTTCCTATTTTTCCTTTACTTACTTAATTTTGTGACTTACCTCCTAAACATCATAGTTTCATCAACAAAGTAATAACAAAACATTGAAACTCATAACACATAAATTGGTAAATTCAACCAAAACCTGATGTTTTTCTCCCTGTCTGTCTTTTTTTCAATTCCCACAGCCATCAGTATGTATATTTCACTTACCTTAATATTAGCACTTATGATTGCAAGTGGTGCACCAATGCAGTGTTATAATTACCAAGAGATGATAAGAGTAATGTTGCCTCCCTGCCAGTGCACATTTCTAAAAATTTGTAGGCTTTGCTTGTCTAAACCATTTGCTAGTTTAAATTACCATGTAAACACTGAATCACCAACAGCATTGTGTCAATGTGTTGTTTTGGGCTTAATCAAGTATCAGCAATGTTAAAATTATCTGATTTCAACAACAGTATTGGAGCACCACACATTAGTTTTATGTCCATCATCTTTAATCGCTTTACAGCAAACAGTAGTTGCTTCTGATAATGCCTCCGTTCCATTCTGCTCTGCTCGAGCATGAGAGCTCTGCACATGGCAAAGCATGGAACTATTCTCTTTCTTTCTGTCTGTTTCTTTTTCTTTCTATAAATAGTGTAGAAAATGTTCACTTTGAATGCTGAGCTACGCTAATTGTTTGGCTCTCTCTTGCTTATCCATCTTGCTCTTGCTCCATATTTCTCCTCCTTCTCTGAGTAATATTGGTGATTTCCACAGCTGCCATTATTTGTCTTCCTTTCCTCTCTCTTCACATCCTAGCTCTCCACGCTCCCTCAGCTATAATTTACTGTAAAGTGTATATAACTTCTGTACTGTTCTTTATCACTACTGTACTTTATCTCTGTCTTTTCAGTCCACGCTGCAGGAGCTAAAGTGAAGGATTTAGAGGATGAAGCTGACAGGCTGTTGGAGAAGCTGCAGCCAATCAAAAAGCTGCAGGACAATTTGAGGCGAAACATATCACACATCAAGGAACTGATCAACCAAGCCAGGAAGCAAGCTAACTCAGTAAGTTGTACAACCTGATCATTTTTAAGGAGAGTTTAATTGTAGGACGACATAATCATGGTCTCGGCAACAGTTTTACAATAATTTATATATAATAATTTGTTATTAAATTTGAATGCTCATAAATAACTGTTACCTTTTGTATTACATTGTATTATGAAGTTAATGTCTTGTGCTGTTTTTATTTAATTTTTTTTTTTTATTTATGATGTACCCACAGATGCTAGTTATTTCTTTGTAAAATATTCTTCTTTTCTTTCAGAATGTAATTTACGAAAGCTATAATACAAAATCCTTCACATGGACACTTTCCTCATTTATCTTCTTTTTCTTCCTCTTTCCAGATCAAAGTATCAGTGTCATCAGGTGGTGACTGTCTTCGTAGTTACCGCCCCGATATCAGGAAAGGGAGGTACAACACCATCGTCCTTCATGTTAAAACCACCATACCTGATAACCTGCTCTTCTATCTGGGATCAGCTAAATATGTAAGTATGCTAGCACACATTAGCACAAATGGACAAATTTTTTACTATATAGACTGGGGCTGTGACTCAGGAGTTAGAGCGGGTTGCCCGTTAATCAGAAGGTCGGTGGGTTCAATCCCCGGCTCCTCCAGACTGCGTGTCGAAGTGTCCTTTGGCAAGATACTGAACCCTGAATCCGCCAGTATGCCTGTATGAATGTGTGTGAATGTTAGTGAAGTGTAGTGTAAAAGCGCTCTAAGTGGTCGAAAAAGATTAGAAAGGCTCTATACAAATACAGAGCATTTGACTGTTACAAGAGGTATATCGCTGTCACAATTACAGTAGTAGAAACACCTTGTCCTTTCAAATACATGCTCATTCACATGGATCTTTTCTGGAGGCGTATCTTAACTACCCAACTACAACCAGAGCTGCAATATGACTAGAAGTTTAACCCTAACCATAAACCACAACATTTTTAAAATGTTCTCACTTGGCAGGTGCATTTCAGGAGTTGGTCCTAACCAAAATAGACAACCCCATTACCAAGGGAGATGTCTTAACTGGGATATATCGTGTGTAGATACCTAAAGGTATCATTGTTCCATTTGTTTTTCTCATCAACATTTTCCTCATCATGCATTTGCATGATAATAATGTATTGACTGAACGGCAGTCTGTTTGAGTAACTAATATGTCTTTGGGAACTTCAACAGTTTTGAGTGTTTGAGTGACTAATATGTCTTTATGGCTTTGTTGAAAAGTGGTCAGACTTTGTCTATAAATGGCTCTGGTATTGCTGACCACATAGAAAATCCATTTGATGGTTTCACAATTTTTAATTGTTTCATATTAAAGCATTAATCATATTTAATACAAAGTTGAGGTGCTATATAATGTGCTGTATTTATTATACTTGAAAATGACTGAAAATGCACCCACACCACATACACACTCCTAGTGTGATATGTCTAAATATGAGAATAATTAATAGTTTTTGACACATACTCACTAACACACCTATAAACATAGTGCACTGTTGTTTTAAGGTACCACTGATAATCCCTAAATTTACATATGTGTGGCTACGTGTGTGTGTGTGTGTGAGTGTGTCTTAAGGAGCAGCAGCAATTAACAACAACTTTATGTTGCTATCTGCTTTAACCTGATTTCCCCTGAGAAATCTTTCCTTCATTTGACTGGGAAATCTCAAAAGTGCGTGTGTGTGTGTCTGTCTCACTAATATTGTCTAATAGAGAATAATTCAGTATGAATAGTAATGCTCTGTGTGTGTGTGTGTGTGTGTGTGTGTGTGTGTCCGTGCATGTGCGCACCTCTAACATTTCACTAATAGTGTGTAATGCTAGTTGAATAATAACGAGGCTGCCCTGTGATCTGTGCTAATGAATAATTGCCATTACCCTGGAGAGACTAGAAAGATAAGTGTGTGTGTACGTATGTGTCATTTGTGTCTTCAAATGTGACTCCCTAATAATCTCTAATTGTGCATAATACTATATGAATCATAATGCTGTGTGTGTGTGTGTGTGTGTGTGTGTGTGTGTGTGTGTGTACTTTAGAGACAGCATCCAGATGAGAGCATATGCTCAAAATTCTCTTATTAATTTTTTTGGCTCATACATAAGTAATAAGGCCATTAATCAAAATACAGCAAGATCCTGTGAAAATCCACTTATAGAGACAGATGGAGAAAACTTCAGCCTTTGTACCCTTAGAATAGACCAGAGCTGGGTGTGAAGTTGCTCCGCTCTTCACTCATTCACTATTCCCTGCATGATAAATACTCTATAAGGTTCTCTGTAGTAAGTAATAAATTGAGATTTGGACACTTGTTATTCATCATCATTTCACATCACTGCCAACAGTGTTGCATCTGAGTTCTGTCATCTCAGCAGCAAGGTCAAGGCTTTTGCATTTTACAATTTGCAACAAATAGTAGTGTAAAGGATATGGACGCTACTTTTGCATTGCAGAATTCTTCCTGATATTAAATAATTTGACTTAAGGTGACTGTTTCCCCTTCATTCTTTGGACATTTACATGGCATGACATTTACAATTTATGGTCAGAGGTGTACCTGACGACCTCTGGGTGAGACTTGTGAGGTCTGATAATAAGCCTTCTGATCTCTCCTGTATGAAACCAAAACTTGACCTATTTTACCTGCTGTCTGATTACAGTGCAGTCATTCACAGTCATACATGTTAATGTCAGACTGAAAAGCCTGAAGACAACTAAATTAAACCATGGTCCATTTTGAGAACCCCAACTTTATGGCAGTGCATAGCTTGGAGTATCCATTTCATACATGAACACAAACATGAAACGCTTTCTCATTCCATCTTCTCTATCTATCCTTCTGTCTCCTTCCTTTCTCTCTTTGGTTCCTTGACTATATTGACATGATGATTCATCAAGTAATATAGTGCTCAATGTCCATCCATCGTCTATACCCATGTCCAAATATCAGATTTTCAAAAATAGTTTATGTTCAGTATATTCAGCATGTGTCTTCTGTGTGTCTCAGGTTGATTTCCTGGCCTTGGAGATGCGTAAGGGGAAGGTAAATTTCCTTTGGGATGTAGGTTCAGGTGTTGGGAGGGTTGAATATCCCCATCACACCATCCATGATGGGAACTGGCACAGAATAGAGGCGTCTCGGTAAGACGTTTGCACACACATACATGCACATGCTTTTTTGTTTCTTTTATACTTGTGTTTGCTACAATGCAAGTATAATGTACATATAATATATGTAGTCACATCATTTCAACGTTGAAAAACAGAATGTTGAGTAGCATCATGATGATGCACAGCTCATGCACTTAAATCCCATTCAGGCAAACATACAGATATACACTCACCTAAAGGATTATTAGGAACACCTGTTCAATTTCTCATTAATGCAATTATCTAATCAACCAATCACATGGCAGTTGCTTCAATGCATTTAGGGGTGTGGTCCTGGTCAAGACAATCTCCTGAACTCCAAACTGAATGTCAGAATGGGAAAAAAGGTGATTTAAGCAATTTTGAGCGTGGCATGGTTGTTGGTGCCAGACGGGCCGGTCTGAGTATTTCACAATCTGCTCAGTTACTGGGATTTTCACGCACAACCATTTCTAGGGTTTACAAAGAATGGTGTGAAAAGGGAAAAACATCCAGTATGCGGCAGTCCTGTGGGCGAAAATGCCTTGTTGATGCTAGAGGTCAGAGGAGAATGGGCCGACTGATTCAAGCTGATAGAAGAGCAACTTTGACTGAAATAACGGTGTGGGGGATGTTTTCTTGGCACACTTTAGGCCCCTTAGTGCCAATTGGGCATCGTTTAAATGCCACGGCCTACCTGAGCATTGTTTCTGACCATGTCCATCCCTTTATGGCCACCATGTACCCGTCCTCTGATGGCTACTTCCAGCAGGATAATGCACCATGTCACAAAGCTCGAATCATTTCAAATTGGTTTCTTGAACATGACACTGAGTTCACTGTACTAAAATGGCCCCCACAGTCACCAGATCTCAACCCAATAGAGCATCTTTGGGATGTGGTGTAACGGGAGCTTCGTGCCCTGGATGTGCATCCCACAAATCTCCATCAACTGCAAGATGCGATTCAGCAGCTTGTTGAATCAATGCCACGTAGAATTAAGGCAGTTCTGAAGGCGAAAGGGGGTCAAACACAGTATTAGTATGGTGTTCCTAATAATCCTTTAGGTAAGTGTATATGCATATACAAACATGCACATGCAGAGAAATTAACCTATAATGTTAGTAGTGAGTGGCCTCACAAGGAGATCCATTGTAGAGCAAATGGATATATTCACTTGCTTACTTGCATACTGTATCTCCAGGTTCCACTCCATGATAAACATCAGCAACTTATTAGTAAGATGCACACACACACACAGTATTTATGATTATATTATTTATTAGTGAAAACTAAACTCCGTGATTCATTTTTTTAAATTGCGTTGAAATATGTCCAGACTTGAAACATTTATTAATTTTAATACTTTTTAATGATTATTTTGATCATTTTAAGCAGCTCTCTTTGCTTTTGACTTTCTATTACTTAAACATACATTATTTTGAGCTTGAGATGGAAACAAACACTGAGAGAAAGTGCTATATTGTCTCAGCATCAATAATTGATATACATTTTAGATACATTTTTATTACATTTTATAAATGTGAAAAAAGAAACTACATTTTAAATAGCCCTCACCATAACCTTATCTAACCAACAGTAACCAACAATAACTGCAAAAATAAACCAACCAGGACATCATTTAATTCATGCTACAGTGGAAAATATGTTGTTTCACTTGGGAAATCAAGAGTTTGCGGCCTTGGCAGCCTGTGGCACATCATACAGGGTAATCTAGAAGATCCAGTTTTTCTTAGTGAAAGCTGAAGTGGTGCTGTATACAGACCGTCCAACACAAGACTCATTCATGCCAAGCAGATGTCCCACCGGCACCACCTCTTACCCTCTGAGAGATTTCCCAAATGTGCTTTCCAATTGGATCCCACAGACTATAAGTCTTAAAAATGTTCCTCTACCTGACACAGAAGTGCTGTTCTTGCTTTGAAAACAAACTCCAAGGTGGGAGATTCATTTCACTGAACAGCTCTGAGGCTCCAATGCTACAAACTGGTTTCACTACGTGTTTCTATCATCTATCATTCATCTGTAGCACCAAGAGTTTGTAAAAACTGATTTCAAGTGGAATCCAACATCTTCAGTCATTGAAAATGTCTTCCAGGAGACACAGAATGGCAAACAAAATAACATCAAACTCGTTCTCTCTTCTTCTCTCTGTCTCCAGTAATGGATTGAACGGCACCATATCAGTATATCCTCTGGAAGGCACTATGGCTGGTATGATGCCGACCCCAGCCAGTGCCAACTCGCCCACTGCCTACACCATCTTGGACGTCGACCAAAACGCCTACCTGTTTGTAGGAGGAATACTCGGCACTGTCAAGGTATCTGTCTGTCTCTTTGTCTGTGTATCACAACTTCAGAACCTGTCTGTCTTCATGTCTTTTTTTCTCAAACTTCACCTCCTTCCATCTTTTAGAAAGCAGATGCAGTAAGAACAACAACATTCACAGGCTGCATGGGGGAAACCTTCTTGGATGGTAAACCTATTGGACTGTGGAACTACAGAGAGAGACAGGGAGACTGTAAAGGATGTGTTGTCAGGTATACAACCACAAGGGTTTTTTTTTCTTTCCTGTTATTATTATGCATCTCCTATATAAAATGGATGTCAAACCATACATTTGTTTACAAAGTTTACCTAACCTGCTGTTGTGTTATAAAATACAACTTTTAAGATGGAAAAAAATTCCTTGCGGATCTTGTGGTTCATTTAATATTCAAGATAATGATATTTGCTACTTTGCAGTTTATTTTTGTGACATTTCAAACTCTGTTGACAGATGAATAGAAGACAAAGCAACAGTAATATGTACTTTGTATTGACTTTTTTTTTTTTTTTTTTTAAGCCCTCAGCGTTCCGATGGTGAGGGTACAGTTCAGCTGGACGGTGAAGGCTACGCCGCAGTGGGACGACCCACCAGGTGGAATCCCAATGTTTCCACTATAACCTTTAAGTTCCGCACGTTCTCCTCCGAAGCCCTGCTCTTGTATTTGGCTACTGAAGATATGGTATGTATACCATACAAGTGAAGGGTGTGAAACCCAAATGCTTATAATCTATGTAAAGATCAGGACTTACAGCCAGAACTTTACTTTAACTTGTAAAATAAATATTTTACATTGTAAGTAATCGGGTACCATCCTTACTCAGACTGCCGTGGAATCAATAATAATATGAATAATGTAAGTTTACTAAGTCACAAAAAGTACAACAAACAATAATCAAGACTTGCAGTATGGTATTGTATGGAGTGTAAAGTGGTGATAACACATCATCTGAGGTATACTATTTATTATACATACATTTATACTACAGGGCGGTGCGGTGCAGTGGTTAGCACTGTCGCCTCACTGCAAAAAGGTCGTGGGTTCAAACCCTGGTTGCCCGGCCTTTGTGTGTGGAGTTTGCATGTTCTTCCCGTGTCTGCGTGGGTTCACACATTTATACTACATGTTTGCTCCATCTCTTTTTGTCAACTGTGAAACCATTGGGGACTATGGAAGTAAAGACCCTTGGTTAGGTACACTCAGCATTAGCTTTTTAAAATATTGAAACAGATGTCATCACAACTTTACTTTTTACCAGCAGCACCCACACAACCCACACCTAATTTAAACAAGTTTACTGAGCAGTATTACAATAACTTCAGTAAAACAGAACCAGGGGAACATGTTGCTTTCAGGAGGAGGCTAGAAGGAGCACATAGTGGCATTGGAAATCTGCATGTTTCCACTGCAGAGGCTCTTTCTACAACATGGAGGAGAAACTTGTTTTAATTAATGTGTATTAGTGTAATTTAAGATTAGATAAAAAGTTCTATTTTAGTCTAATAGTTTACTGTTTGTATTTTAATATACATTATTTAATTTAGCTATATGTAGGCTATTTTCATTTTATGTAATAGTATACTATACAGCCCACCACTAGTATAATATTAACTCCAATTGGACAAAACCGCAGTTTCATGTTTGTGAGTTGTTTTCATTTACATTGGTCTCTTAATATGTTAATGATCCTATCTCATTAATGATCAGAACCATTCATTCAGGAGGAGTTCAACATTTGAAATTTTACTGTAGCACGTCAAACCGTTTTTATGTCCCGCTGCATCCAGGCTGTGATTGGCCATTTGAGGAAAAGTGAAATTGAAATGGTAGGTTGTAGTTACTTGCACATTGTGCTCGTAAATAATTTTTCCGGTTTGCCCTATCGATTTTTAAGGGCATATGCAAACAAAATGGTCGCACCGTAGAGCCCTGCCCAGCATACTGAATGTTGGTATCTAACTGCATAAAATCAAATCACCTTTTATGAGCAGTGTCCAGAATGCACTGTTGTGATGTGAAATCCAGTTTGAATTCTGATTGCTGATATCGTATTTTAACCACAGTTTAGAAACATCTTCAACCTGTTGGGTAATAAAAACTATCATCTCCCAGGATAAACTCATAATTCAATTAAAATAATAATATATTTTTAAGTGTATATTATTTTGAGCTATTGTTGCAAAATACTGTTATTGGATTTCAAATGTCAGTACCTCACAACGCTTTCTCCCTGTTTCTCTCTGTAGAAGGACTTCATGTCCCTGGAGCTGTCAGAAGGCAAGGTGAAGGTGAACTTTGATCTTGGGTCAGGAGTTGGCAATGCCAGATCAGCTAACCGCCACAATGATGGACGTTGGAAATCCCTCACCATGTCCCGCAACAAGAAACAAGGTACACACAACAACTGTTTACATTAGCACAATATTACACTAAAGTAGACACTACACTTTAGTTGACAAGACTGGACAAATAGTATAAATGAGATTTGATAAAATGAACTAAGCAATACCAAATTAGACTAAATCATTTTATGTTATATTAGTCTACATTACACTGAACTAAACATATATAAATATGTATTTATTTAACCCTGTTTAAAAAGGTCGTCTCATCAAGAAAAATATCTCTTTTTCAGATCAGACCTATGCACATAAACAACAGTATAAGCACAGACAAAAAAAACACACAGAACAAAACACAATTTATATGCACAGTAAACATTTGTTGTGGCATGTGAAAGGCTTTACTATGTTATCTATCTACCTGTTCTGTTGTTATTTATGCCTCTTTAACTGTTTTCAAAGCCACACTGACCGTAGTGGACATTGACAGCGGTGCTGAGGAGATGATAGTGGCCACATCTCAGGGTTCAGCTACTGGTCTGAACCTCAAGGAAACCCAGAAGATCTATTTTGGAGGGCTCCCTACTATTGGAAACTACAGGTATACATGCACACACAGTTCTAACACATTCATGTACACATTTAGACACTCACATATACTGTACATGTATTTATTGTTAAGCATGCCATAATATGTAATGTGTGTTTCGTATAGGGCTATTTTTTTGCTTTCAATATGAAGGCAGGATCTTTAATTTGTAAGAGATAATGATAATGAAAAGATAATGAAGATTAATGAAGTCTTTCTAATTCATATGTAATGATGTTTTAACGCACTTTTTCTAATGTAAAATGTCTTTTGAGACAATTTATAAAATTATAAGCCTGTTCACATCTTCTAGTCTCTCATTAAACCCTCCATGTGCCAGATGTTTGAGTAGGAAAAACTTGACTAGGTTAGATGAGGCATTAGTTGAAATTGTGTTTATGAAGTGTGCTAACGCTTTAATATCATGTTTTGTCTTAACAGCATGACACCAAGGTAAATAAATCTCATAATCAGACATATAGTAAATTGTCTCGTATATTGCCTTCTGCATGAGGCTAGCGATGCTGATGATGCTGTGTAGCCCACAGTGAATATGTATGTTTGTTTGTATCTTGGCTGGCCCCTGAAGCCTCCTGCTCCTCCACATGGCAGCTGGAAATCACTTTCACTGCCATTTTATTAATCTGAATTTGACGTTTGTCTGTTCAGCAACATTTAGGTGAAATTTCTCACATTTATGACTCAGCCTTACAGGCATCATTGCCATAATCATATTCAAGTTGTATTTTAGATGCCGATCTAAGTGTCTCTACCAATTATGTGTAGCACAGCAAGCAACCTTTTTTGCTGAGCTGCAAAAACAAAGCCCTAATTCACTGAAAACAATTTCCAAAGGTGCATTACACTGTTAATAACCTGTTCAGTGTGATCATAGCCCAAGTTTATCTGAGGGTGGAGAGGTTTTTTTCTCCTTTCCTGTTGAATAATAATGCAACCTGGACAATGCCCAACAGTACATCAAAATCAATTATGCTTAAAAACTTCTAAACTAAAAACTGATACATATTATAAATCCCAATTAGTTAATATGGACAAACGGCATATTCACATTATTCTTTGTTGTTGACGTCCAGACTTCACTCTGCTGCTGGATAAATTATGCAATAGCTTCACTGCTGCAGTAATTCAACTTTTTAAAATTAATTCACTGCTGAGAGACATGACATTCCATGAAGTTTACGTACTCTTTACTAAACCTGTTGTAATTTCTTTATAGGCCAGAGGTCAATCTGAAGCGGTATGCTGGCTGTCTTCGGGATATTGAAGTTTCCAGGACTCCATTTAATCTCCTCAGCAGTTCAGATTATACTGGGGTCACTAAGGGATGTAATGTAGAGGTAAGAGTGTCCGCTTAGTTGTAGGTTTATATCGCTACTGCATATTTAAACTTTTAAAACATATATTACAGAGTTATGACTGTCTGCTTGCATTGATATACTTACTGGAGATAAGCTATAAAATGTATTTAATGTTTCTCACTAGGTCACATTTAATGGAATGAGTACATCATGTAACATATGTAAAGTCAACCATCTGGACCACAGCAGCATACAGATACGTTAAAACATCGCTGTTGTATAGCTTAAAAGGGTGACATTATTTTCCCATGTTTTTGTGTCTATGTGACTAACTGGGACAATTAGACACTTTTTAAAATTGGTTCAGTACTGCGCGAGCAGTCGGCAGCAGCAAGAAATGGCTGCAACATAATCCTTGTGGGCAATTGTTCAATACTTGCTGCACAGACACAAAAAACATGTGAAAATAAGGTCTAGGTCAGAAAAAACAGAAGTTACCCTTCAATATTGTCCAACTATAGTATTACATAATGCTATTTAAGAAATTTACCATTTGTATATGTGTGTTAATATCACTGATTGTATATAAAAGGTTAATATGTGTCAAAATGTCACTGAATAAAAGGTGAATGAATATGTACATGGAAAATTAATATACAACATTAATATTAATTTTGATAAAGTTTAAGATATTTATAACCTGAATGACCTCGTTTTTTTTTTCTGGTTCACCCATTCTTGACCCTGCCTCTTGTACTTTTCCTATTTCTTTCACTCCCATTTGCCATTCACTCGGTTTCTTTTATACATTTTATTCAGGAAATTAAAGGTGGCTGGCTGTAGATATAAAAATTCAGAACAGAAAGTAAAGATAGTGTGAAGGTCAGAAATGTAGCTGTCTTGTGTCTTTTCCATTTTCCATGTATACACACAAACTATTCATTATTAATTAATACAGTATATACACACTCCCTTAATCACACGTTTTATTTTACATTTTATATATTTTTTCTGTCATTTGTGTTTCCTCTAAGTTACACAAACATACATACACTTGCATTGTATCTATATTGGAGTTTCCAAATACATACTGTACGTGAGAGGCATTCACCATGATTTCTATACACTAGTGCCATTCATTCATGCAAACAAGTGTATAAAGACTGTATGACAGGTCCAGGGTTGAGTGTGTGTGGACTGTAGAGTGAAGGTCTTTTCTCTTTATTCAACCACCACACTGCTTTGCTACAAAGATTTTCAGTATGTGTGTGAAAGTATTTCTACTTTGCAGCCACAGTCAAACAGAAGTGGATGGCACATTTGAGTTTTTGTAGAACAAGCATGCCTTTTAATACTTGTAAGAATTAATCCTTGGCTTGACTAAAACCACAGAGGGAGCCTGGTCACATAACTTTGATCAACCATTATTTTGCTTTTCAAACCTGACTGATTTGTAAAATGTAGGACTAAACAATGAATCTATTCGATGTAAACTAATATACAGGTAAACTGGAACTATCTCATTTCTGTCTCACAGAACTTGTACACTGTCAGTTTCTCTAAACCGGGATACATGGAGTTGGGTGGCCAGTCGCTGGCGGTCAACACAGAGATCAGCCTGTCATTCAGCACTCTGGCAGACACAGGGACCATATTGCTGGCAGTGGGCGGACCTTCACTAAATAGCCAGCAGGTTCGGTTTCATTTATTTTGTTAATTTAAGCTGTGACTCGCTTTCCCATGTTGGTGGTTGGTGGTGCTTTATTTTACAGGCCTGTGATTTCCTAATAATTTACAAATAATTCTAGGATTTCCTGGCAAGAACTATGTGATTTGGTACTGATTATAGGGAAAATATGGATTTTCTTGAAAGAAAAGAAAGCTCAATTTAAAACCAAATAAATTCATTCAGTATTAATTTATTATTAGATTTTGTATGCTTTTTACATGTTCAGCCTATCTGCATCTGAATAAAATTTAAACTGATTCATTGTAAGTATACAAAATTAACTCTAATTTCGGGCCATATTGTTCCATATTGGTACCAAATTACATAATTCTTTCCAGGAAACATCGTTATTAAAAACAAATATACAGACATTGTGGACCCCTATAACAAGGAATTACCAAATTAATGTAGCTTGACTTGAGGGTGTACACTGTTGTCCTACAATGTAATGAACAAAGGAAATAAAGGAGCTACACAGCTGCAAAAAATTTTAAGGAAGACAACTCCATGAAGATCTTGGAACAAAAAGAACTAAGTATAAAATCTTTAGGAAAACCATTTTCGTTTGCTTTGTGAGAAGTAATTAACCGCTGTATTCCAAAGTCGCAGTTTGATTGACATCCTTTTTTATGATTTCTTGTTCGTAGTCCTTATTATATACTATTATTATGTGGTACTCACATGTTTTCTTATGCTCCTTCACTTGCTGTATGTAAAATGTGTAATGTTAACAGCATTATTTCCCCATTTTTCTGAAAATCTTTCCACCACAGGCCTGGAACACAAACCTCTTAAACTCCAAGCGGAGACGCAGGCAGTCTGGAGAGGTGCGTTCAACACATGGACACACTCTTACACACCCAAATGCTGCGCCCCTTTCCCTAAGTGAATGACGTTTTCATAAGTGCAAATTAATGAGATTTGCATTTATTGGCAACTGGGATAATTGGATTGTCTTTTATCCAAGACACACACACACACACACACACACACACAGAAATGTCCATGACACACAAAGACACGTTCACATAGTTCGTCCATCATATAGTAGCTATCTTAGCTTTTAGCTGACCATGCAAACAAGCACCCTTTCTATAAGTGAATGAAGTTTCCATGAGTGCATATTAATGAGATTTGTGTTTGTTGGCAGCTATGCTGATGAGATTGTCATACAGCTGAAAACACACTCGCGCATGCACACACACACACGTATACACACAGACATGTTTGAAGTCCCTATACTGATACTGCACTCTTTAATCCTTATCACTAATAAATAAATACATCCATTATTCAATCTCACCTGGAAACATAATTTATTTTGTGTGTAAGTCTTTTGTTCACATTTGCAGCCATGCGTGTGTGTCTATGTCTGTGTGTGCACGTGCGGGTGCTTGTTTTCATGTTTGTGTGCGTGCGTGCGTGCGTGCTTTAGCGTAATGTGCATCTGTGTGTGTGTGAGGTGAGAGAGAGGGAGAGGACAGAGGGTTAGCCCTAGCTTATCCATCATCACTGGTTGTTGGGCGCATAAATCTATTTTCACTAACTATGCTGGCAGGGAGTGTGTGTGTGTGTGTGTGTGTGTGTGTGTGTGTGTGGATAAAGGTTAAGCGAGGTTAAAAACACCATCAACTCAACTTGGCCCTGACTAATGGATGTTTTAGAGAGGGACAGAGAGACAGGGAGATAGAAGGGGGCAGGAGAAAAAGGATGGAGGGATAAAGGAGGGAGATTTAGAGGTGAAAGGAAGTATAGTGGCAAAAGAGCAGAGCTGGGGGAAAAAAGAGAAATGATACGAGGGGGGAGGATAACAGAGGAGAGGAGAGAACAGAGGGCGGAAAAAATGGAGTTGATAGTAGACAGAGAAAATGGTCACAGAGAGGAGAGATGAAAAGAAAAGGAGGAAGAAGCTTGGAGCAGAATAAGGGAAGCTGAGTTGAAAGAGTGCAGTGAGAGAGAGCAAGAGAGGAACAGGGAAAGATGAGGGCAAAAGGAACAAGGAATTAAATAATTATGTTCAGTTTGACCATTCACAAAATTTAAGATATTCACTACTGATGTCAGAAAGATGATCAGTGAAGAGGAGGGGAGGCCATGATGTTGGATGTGAGAGCTGCTCACACCTCTGGACAATAGATTCCTGGTGAATTTCTCATCATATAAATATCACATATATCAAGATGTTGCTGATCCAAGAGCAGTACTGAGTAGATCTGTGTTACAATACAATCCCCATGCCCTCAGATAAAGCCCCTCTGTTTGTTTTTGTTCCCTTTCCAGATAGAATTGGGATTAGATTTTGTAGCTGAAATGCTACTGTAACTTCACTGCTTTATCGAGGAGATTTAGGGACTTGTGACTCCTAGGAAAAGCAAGTACAAGCAAAAAACAAAAAGATAAAAGTTATGAGTTAAGATTTTTCCATAGATAACTTGACTGTAGGATTCATTTGAGCACCACTGCTGCCCCATCTTATAGTGAAATGTGATTTGATTAAATGACAACCTCTGCCATTTGAGCAGAACACATAGAGTAGCTATGCAAGACTACATCTCTGCATTAAGGTTCATCTTTCTGTAATGTTAGCTAATCTCAGCAGTCAGCCACTTGATATTGTTAATAGGTCTGCTCTGCTACTAAAGATTATTGATTAATCTGCCCATGTATTCTTAATTAATTGACAGTTTGGTCTGTAATCAGAAAATAAAGTGAAAAATTGTGGACATTGTCCTTTACCAGACTACAAGTTGACAACCAGCAATCAAAAATCCAGGGATATCTAGTATTCACATTTTGGGGGATATTTGCTTAAAAAAAGACATCAATTATCACAATTGTTGCATATACATTTTCTGTGGATTGACTTATCAATTAATTGAATAATTGTTTGCTCTAGTTGTTATTGTCATGACATTATAGCCTAATGATGAATGAAAAACTGATATCAGCGTGAATGTGCATCAAACCAGCCTCCCTCTGTCTGCTGTGCAAAATTGAAAACCGCAATTCCAAAACAAAAGTATAGATAAAACCTAAATAATCTTCTGTTTGCTCCAAGGTGTGTTGTTACAGAACTTTTTTACAATGAAGAGATTAGATTGGTTCATAAATATTAAACAAGCAAACAAAAAAAGCCCTGCATCACCACGTCTGCATTCTGTACTGACACCAACATTTGCACACACGTGAAACCCAAAACCAAAATACAGTCATACATGTAGAAACTTCAAAAGCTGAAAGATATATTATATATATATAATAAAAATATTAGGCAGTAGCAGAGTGTGTGTGTGTGTGTGTGTGTGTGTGTGTGTGTGTGTGTGTGTGTGTGTGTGTGTGTGTGCTTTACATATGATTGTGACTGTGGGTTAGTGCGTGTATAGGTCTGTACATGCGTTTTAGCTACACGGTCTGTTGCGTATTTCATGGTTGTGTCTGTATGTGTGTGTGTGTATCTTTCCTTCAGTGAATGAATTCATGTGTACATGTGAGTTAATCTATGATAGTCTGCCTTTGTCTGTATGTGTGACATGTGTCTGCGTCTGTGCACCTGCGTGTCCGTGTGCATGCGTGCCATTTTGTGTGTGTGTGTGCGTGCGCGTGCGTGTGGGTGTGCGTGCGCGAGAGACAGTGCAGCGAGAGGCATGTTGTAGCTACATCTCAGTTCAATTTGTCCCCGACCTCAAATTGAAATTCCATTTTCAGGTGGTAAATTGTCTCCCACTTCGCCCTCTGGCACACAGTGAATTAAAATTCAAATTAGCCTGACCCTGCACCACTGCTCTCCAGCACCTCTCTGTCTGTCTCTCTCTCCCCATCTCTTTCTCGCTTGCTGTTTTGCTCTCTGCCCTCTCATCTCTTTCCCCTATTATCCTCTCCTCTCTGTTCCTCTCATCTCTTGTTATCCTTTCCTCCATGCTCTCCTCTCCACTCCTCTCCAACCTCTCTTATTTCCCCCCAATTTTTCTCTATATACTATCTCCTTACTCACCTCCCCTTTCCCCTTTGACTTTTCTCTGCTCCTTAATCTCCGGTTTCTCCTCCCTCCTGTTTGTCTTTTCTCCTCCCTTCAATTCTTTTCTGTCTGTCTTTTCCTCTCCTCCTCCTCTCCTCTTCCCAACAAACATTTTAAAAAATTGCAGCATGCAGGAGGTGGACAAATTTTTACAAATTACAAATTAATAGAACAGTTAAGAATTGATTAACTTTGATTATTTAGATACTTATTTCATAAATAATGCAGCGACTAGCTAACAATTTCTTTCTTTTCAAAAACACCTGGCTGCTGATGTATTAAATCTATTAATTTGTTGTCCCGTAGTATTAAATTGTTATTATTTATTTATGGGTTTTCAGTTTGAAAGGTAAATCTTACAAGGTCCACTTACCCGAATCTTTCATTCCATTTATTCCACATTAAAGGCAGCTGAAAGCTCTGGAATATTATTATTACAATTTTTTTTTTGTCAAACTACTGTCAAGAGCCAGCTGGTTGCTTTTATAGTTCCACTTTAGAATCAGAAGGAGTTTTATTGCCAAGTGGTATTTACACATACGAGGAATGTGGTGATAAGGTGCTACACGTAGACAAACATACAGTCGACATAAATAAATGTAGAAATATATAAATATGGAATGGAAGAACAACGTTGCAGATATATACATGTGCATTATTCTGGGTCTGTGCCGTGCAGAATTAACGCAACGGAAGAGAATATTGTGTACATATAAATATAAACTGACAACTCAGAGTCCTCGAGGAGTACAGGTCCAGAAGAGAAGGAAGATTGCAGCCAATCACCTTCTCTGCAGAGCGAATGATACGCTGTAGCCTGCCCTTGTCCCTGGCAGTGGCAGCAGCGTACCAGATGGTGATGGAGGAGGTGAGGATGGACTCAGTGATGGCGGTGTAGAAGTGCACCATCGTCTTTGGCAGGCTGAACTTCTTCAGCTGCCGCAGGAAGTACATCCTCTGCTGGGCCTTCTTGGTGATGGAGGTGATGTTCAGCTCCCACTTGAGGTCCTGGGAGATGATGGTGCCCAGGAAGCGGAAGGAGTCCACAGAGGTGACTGGGGAGTCACACAGGATGATGGGGGACGGTGGGGCTGTGCTCTTTCTAAAATCCACGACCATCTCCACTGTCTTCAGAGCGTTGAGCTCCAGACTGTTCTGGCTGCACCAGGTCACCAGATCTCCCACCTGTAGGCGGACTCATCCCCACCTGAGATGAGCCCAATGAGGGTGTTGTCGTCCACAAACCTCAGGAGCTTGACAGACTGGTGATTGAAGGTGCAGCTGTTGGTGTACAGAGAGAAGAGAAGTGGGGAAAGAACGCAGCCTTGAGGGGAACCGGTGTTGATGGTCCTGTTTTCCCAGCTTCACGTGCTGCTTCCTGTCCGTCAGGAAGTCTGTGATTCACCTGCAGGTGGAGTCAGGCACGTTCAGCTGGGAGAGCTTGTCCTGCAGCAGGGCCGGGATGATGGTGTTGAAAGCAGAGCTGAATTCCACAAACAAGATCCTGGCGTAGGTTCCTGGGGAGTCCAGGTGCTGGAGGATGTAGTGAAGGGCCATGTTTACTGCATCATCTACAGACCTGTTGGCTCTGTAGGTGAACTGCAGGGGTTCCAGGAGTGGGTCTGTAATGGATTTTAGGTGGGACTTCATAACCACAGAGGTCAGGGCGACGGGTCTGTAGTCGTTTAGTCCAGTTGTTTTTTGGGGGACAGGGATGATGGTGGAGGCTTTGAAGCAGGCTGGCACATGGCATGTCTCCAGTGAGGTGTTAAAATGTCTGTGAACACCAGAGACAGCTGATCAGCACAGTGCTTCAGGGTGGATGGGGAGACAGAGTCCGGCCCAGCTGCTTTGCGGAGTTTCTGCCTCCTGAAAAGACGTTGACTGCCCTTTCTGTGATGGAGAGAGGAGGGGAGGGGGTGGAGCTG